CTCTCTCTCTCTTGCTCTCTCTCTCTCTCTTTTCTTTTTTTCCAGCCGAACGATAAATCTAGCGGGCGGCGCGTGATTGCGTCGTTCGCATTATTTTTCGCGGGCAGTCAGTATTGTGCCACGAACGCAACGCATTCGTAACGGCCGATCTCTCGATTGTGCTTCCGGAATCACGAGCGAGAAATCGCCTGACGACGACGACGACGTTATTAATCGCTGAAACGACATTTCAGATGGGCACGACGTCTTACCCGAGCATGACCCAACCGTTCTCCATGTCGCATTCAGCGTCGAATATGTCGGCCGTCACCGGTATGCGACAAGATGCGATGGGTGAGTCATAAATAATGCAACGCCACACACAGTGCTTTAAATTGCGTGCGTAGAGTGAGTGCGACACGCGAGCGCGGCTCGTTCTCATTCGGGTCAAGGATTATGCAAATCCCCGGTATAATCCCGCAGATACCGCGAATATCTACCTTTTATTTCAAGATAACTGTACTCGCATCCTCGCGAAAAATCGATAGCGCGTTCTCACACGCCGCCACCCCGCCGCGCGAACTCGGTGGTGCCCGTTGCCTCTCGAGATCTCTCGATTACCGTTTTCCATTGACTTCTTGACCGATATTAATAGTCGCTACTTGAAACTTGTCCTACGCGAGATACTCAAATCTGTATTTAGAATTAGATCTGAGTTTTTTATTTGACTTTTGTGCAATATATGTATAATATATAACGTTGTAATCGCGATTCAGCTGAGGAACTCACGTCTAATGTTAGATTAAAATCTGAGTATCTCACCTGAGACAAGTTCCAAGTAACGATTATTGATACGGCTCTTCGCCTCTCAAATAATCTCTTAGAGATCTGCGTTTGGCGCAAAGTCACGTTTTCGGAGATCTGCTCGAGCCATTTTTCAAGAGTGATAATTTTGCGACTGTTACATCGCGAGAACATATATAAATAAGAAACAGAAGAAATATCTATTCGCTGAGTAGTCTAATAACTTATTCACTTGTACTAATATAAGTTATTGTTTACGAATAAGACGATATACATTCTCTGAAAACTTTACAAACGAAAGCAATTGTTTATTCTATTCGAATCAAAAAGTTGAGCAGATATGGTGTTAAGTCACCTACCATAAATATTTTTTTCATTTTCCTCAGGTATTCTTTCCCTCTCAGTGTACAGATTTATAGAGTTTACTGATAACAGCGTTCATCAACCGATAACAATATTCATATTGCAAAAAGTATATTAATAATAATACTTACCAAATAGTATATCGACAATAGTCATCAAATGATATATTTATAACAGTTACCAGATGATATACTGATAATAACAGTTGATAAAAGCGATAGTATACGGAAAGAATATTATAGTTAATTTATTTATTAGCTATATTATATAGTTCTTAGTATATAGTTCTATATTATACTTCTTTTTCATATAAATTCTTACCAATTTTATCATGTTTTCTTGTAATATAGAAATTAACTGTCGGTAGAATCTATTTTGTTAAAGAACAAAGTAATTTTTTTAACAGTACTCTTTAGTTCAGGAACTTAAGTTCCTAAAATATACATCCTAAAACGGATGTATAGTAAATTGAGACATTATGTTTCGACATTATGAGGCGGTGTGTTTCTCAATATTATAAAATTCTACATTAATATTTACTACAAAAATCTCTTCGTGTACTACAGCTCTGCTACACGGTGAGAAAAAATATCTAAAAAGTAAGAAATATTTCTCTGATGGATATTAATATTCATTTGTGCATTAATACACGGATTTTTACATGGAGACAAAATTTATTTCGAAAAAATAAACATGTTTTTTCTCAAAATCGATGCTTTTTTTCATGAAAGCAATTATACTTTCAATTTAAACAAAATAGAATTTAGACTTAAGTAAACATGTTAATATCCCCTAAATGAATATTTCGCATTTTTCAGATACTTTTTCTCTCACTGCTACTACTGACAGCAGATTGCCTCGATCGTGACCGCGCAATTTACCCTCACATCCGATTATTTTGTAGTATTTCAGTGGAAAAAACTCGTGTCGATTCTTTTCCCACCGCGAAACAGGCGTATAAACTAATTTCTACGCGACTTCAACGCGACTTCGTCCTTCCGTCTGACCTCCTCATTCGCCAACGACTTTCCGCGGCGTCCTCGCGGCCGCTGACCCGACATTATCGAATGATTCCGCAAAAATCCGGAGCGGAAATGGTGCGAATCCGACGCCCGTGTGCACGAGAGGCAGCGCCGGCTCCTCCAAGACGCTCTCTCCATTTCCGCCCCAGCGCCGTCTTACACCATTTCCGGCGCGAGATGGAATATCGCTTTTAAATCGAATCAAGACTATTCGCGAATTGCCTGCCTGCCTGCCTGCTTGCCTGCTTGTCGGCGGAGTTTGCGAGCTCGCGACTGCGACGAGCACGCGCCTCTACGGCGCTCGCAATCTCGCCCGCTTCTCCTTAACGACTTAACGTCTTAATGCCATAGCAGATCGACCGATTAGCGGCCGACTCGATCAAGCTCCGTGGAAAGTCGTTAAATCGAGTCACTCCGGGAACGATTCTTTCGGGGTGGAGAAAAGAAACCGACTTCTATGCGCCCACCGTTGACACTCGGGCTTATTTTATTACGGGGCTGGCGGGGCTCGCGCGCGCGTTCCATTTCACCGATTGACGTTCGTTAACGAACAACAATCCGCTATTATCCGAACACCTCTGGATTATCTGCAGCTTAATCGGAAAAATTCAGATCAAAATAGCCATGGTTCAAAGTACACGCCGGAGGAGGAGAACGTGCGCGCTACCTCTCGAGTCGGAATTTTGGATTCCACATCAAGCCTGCGAGTCTCGTCCAACTTGTAGGTTCAATGAGGAATCTTGAAATATAATATTATATAAACTATTGACCTACTTCAATAATAACAATGCTTACTCGCCGCCGCTTTCTTCGCGTTGAAGAAGCTCAAAAAACTGTGTGTGTGTGTGTGTGCAGCCTATGTAATAGCCTGTACAGTATCTTCTATAATAATCACAACGGAATTTTTAGAGGTAATATGGAATTGAAATTTTGGCTCACAAACTGCGAGTGCAATTGCATAATAAAATAATTATATACTGAAAAAAATACTTGAAAACTTATCTGTGGAATGAAGTCCATTTTTGCGAAAAAAATTCGCTTCTGGAAATAAACTTTATATTCCACGAATAAATTTTCCGAGGATTTCTTTCGCGGTGCAATTAAGAAGATTCCTGCTACTGATCTTTCATTGGAATAATAAAAGATGCGATTGGCGCCGGGAAGTTTATTATAATTTCCGCGGGATTAAGTATAAATATGTATTTTCTCTTTCCGTGCCGACACACGGAGACAAATCGGTCCTGAGCGACCGCGCCCCCGATTTGTCTGAGAACACATCTCCTTTCGGTTTCAGGGATGTCAGCGGAGGACGAGTGGTACAACAAAAGCATCTCGGCCCTGAGAATGAATACAGCTCACCACCCGAACCTGGCCGCACCGATGTTACAGTATCAAACATAATTGTAAACGGAGGCGGGCGGGCAACTCGAGGGTCTCGTCAGAAGTCGGACGGCATACTTGTGACCGAAATCGAGATGCCGTGAAGCGACGGTGAGGGTGGACGACGAGGAAGAGGCGGAGGAGGGGAAATAAGATGACGAGATCGACGAAGCCCGATCGAAGGACGACGTTTCGCCGTTTCGCAGACGAGAAAGAAACAAGAAAAAGGAACGGAAGAAACTATGGATCCGATTTGCGTTATGGCTATAATGAGCAGCTCGCGCGGCCGCGTCGACATCCTGATTTCGCACCGACACGTTCTCACACCTCGCTTGCAAGCGAGAGAGCTCTCTCTCTCTCTCTCTCTCTCTCTCTCTCTCACCCTCCTCTCTCTCCCTTGACATCTCGCGACAGCACGTTGCGAATACACGCGTGAAAGAGCCGCCATCGATTCGCCCTCGCAATTCGCGAATTGCTCGGTCGCGTGTCGGTCGATCGTGTGCGAGAGAAGCCACCAGCAATCGAGAAATTTTGCAATCGGAATTTTGCAATACTCACGACTGAATTCTCGCTTATTCGCAGTGATTCCCATGACCGATGCAGAGCGCAGTCACGACGAATGAGACGGAAAATAAGCGAATCGTGCGCCAAAATCGTAGGACAGTCGGGAGAGAAGGAATGAGAAAGAGAGAGAAAGAGAGAGAGAGAGAGAAAAAAAGAGAATGAGAAAGTACGCGATTCCCCGAGTGCAACTTGCACCCGGATTCGCGGACAACGAGAGTCGTGCGATTACAGAACGTCTGTACAGAATGTGTAAGGGCGCCTCACACGAGAGAGATTTGTCCGCGAGATTCGTATATTTTCTAACGTGTAACGGGTGTCCGCTCTTTTCGCGACCGCGAGTTCTTCTCAGTTTCGAGGAACGTAAGAACGCGCGCAAGCATCACGTAAAAACACACACACACACACACACACATACACACGAGTGCAAATACATACAAACAACCCTATATACAGCCCAGTCGGACCATGGATACGCAATCTCGCGCGCGACGCTTCGTTAGTCTACTCAACAACGATTCATGCCGTTTTCGTTAATCGGTGGGCGAAGGGGACGGGACTGTGTAAATAAGGGGTGCGGAGATATAGATACATAGAGGAGCGTAATCGGCAGATACTCTAGCATATGCGATTTTTCAATGTCCTTTTAAAAGAGTGTAAGCATACCCTTAGTGAATGATATTAGGCATTGATTTGTGTGCTTATGTTGACCACGATTTTGAATAAACAGGAAACGGGAGGAGACGCGGAGGGAACGCGGTGACGGTGTGATGGGTAGTGTGGTAGTGATGATGGCAGTGGTGATGGTGGTGGTATCTGAGACAGTGTCTTGCGTTCGAAATTTGAGGGGCGCCAGGGTTTCTCCCCATCGCGCGACGCTTGGCCCGTCGACACTCACCCCCTTTGATCCACGCGGATTAGAAAGTCGTCGCGTGCGAATTAACATAAGAAAGAGAGAGAGAGAGAGAGAGAGAGAGAGAGAGAGAGAGAGAAAGAGTTATGATTATTATTATTATTATTATCTATATCGCATCCCCGTTCCATCATGATTGAGACATGAGAAAAAGATTCGGTTCTTGCCGCGCGCGTCTCATCTCGCGTGTGAGAGCGTGTGAACGCGAGATGAAACCGAGTATATGTTGAGAGACTTAGAGATATTATCTAAACTTGTATATGTGCGTGTATGTGTGTGTATCACGAGAATGAGCGAGGTGTCGTAAACGAAGTTACTCACACACACACGCACACACACATATACAGAGAGAGGGAGAGAGAGAGACAGACAGGAATTACCATTGTGGGAGCGACGTCGATTAACAATTACCGACACTGTGCTCGTGCGAATCCTTCTTCGGGACTTTTACACACTTCTTGGTCCACGTCGTTCTTTTCCAAGACGGAGATGTGATACGCGTAACGTGTTAGCGTATCGACGTGTCGACGAAACGAGTCCACCGCGAGTCACTATGTGTCGTATTAGACAGGATTTACGCAGGACCATTGTCGCTCTCGTCGACACGTCCGTACGATATGCTTATGCACTTGTGTAAATTTGTGTGCGATAGCCTTGCTCAAGCCTGTTTCACACTGGGAAAGTATCCGACGCCAAGTAGAGCCGGTCAAGCGACAAATTGCAGCGAAGAGTATTATCTTATAAGACGAGCGAACGAGACTTCCTTCGCTCTACTGGTCCAGCTAGTATTCTCAAGTGTCACAGAGTTAAAATTGATCGCTGGTTTTTGTATCCACTATAAGATTGTCTGTGGTACACGTAGAGCTTACTGCATTCTAGTAACATCTGTTAGTAAATTTAGCTAGATATGAGGATTATACATTCATTTGTCCCTGGTCCTCTTTTGTTGTCTACCACAGTCACTTTTATAAGAAGGTTGACTGGCTTTAATCCGGATGGACGTCACTAGTCAGAGAGACTATCTGGCTAAATTTTACCAACAGTGGGAATGTAAATTCCGTCTCTGTCGTCTATGTTGATTAAATGCAAAACACATGCGATATTGCAATGTTTGCTAATTATTTATGCATCTCAGCTAATTTCTCCAGATCAAAATTCGCCGTGTGTATTTCATCCCTCGAATTAAACGATGATATCAACTTTTTCTTTCGTACATTAACTTTTCCCAAATTCTTTTAAACGTGCGCCGATAATTTGTCTATTTATTTGATAATAATTCAGTGATTATAACGATACGACAAGAAGACGCGTTGGTTCGTCGGCGAGAGAATTTTCGCCGAATCTGAGCAACGGTCATTCGATCGATACACTTCAATAATCAATTGATACATATTTACGATATGTTAACAGACTCTCCCAACCTATCACGTTTGCAATCTGTCGACTGACTCGCGTTAACAATCACATTGCTTTGTTCACGATCGTTAAACGCGCGGCGCCGGAGCTGCCGATTGCGCGTCGAAAGAGCGCGTCGGCGTCGCTGCGATTCTTCACCCTGGCTAATCGAGGCGCGAACTCGATCGTGCCGCGAATGAGATGGGTCGAGATTCCCGAGCGATCACCGTCCAGGTGATCGACAAACGCACAGGCTGACTGATTCACGAGGCCATCGACTATCTCTCAGCCGCACTGGGTGGAAAATACGAAGGAGAAGAGGAGAGAGAAGACAAGCTTTGCACTCAATCTCACTCATCCAGGGTCGAACCTCCAGCGATCGCCATCCGATCGTATTACTCTGATTAATTGATACTGTAACATTCAACCTGTTCGCGTCACACAACAGACGAAAAATCCCGCGATCAAACAAATCACCCGAGACGACTGTGTGTTTTATCATCGGGGAAATAATGATCGCGGATAATAAGTAGCCATTCCGAGGACGTCCATTGTCGACGATAATACGACGGGCACTCGAACGAGGAATAAAAAACACACACACACACATACACCGACGTTATTCTTCAGTACGTTGAACCGGTTGATCGTTACTCTCTCGCTCGTCGATCGTCCGGATGCTTTCCCGCGAAAAGTCAACGAAAGCCGGGAACAGGAGCTTTCGCGTTTGGACCCTTCGACGCTTCTTCAAGAGCTCCCCGAGATCGGAGGTGTGTTTGTTTGTTTGTTTGTTTGTGTGCGAGCATAAATATTGTACGCGGAGTGCCGAACGCGGTTCGCGAACATTTTCAACGTAACCGCGACTCGCCGCGACACCTCCCTGGCGCCTTTCAGTCGTGATATTTGGAGTCTGTCCAATCAACAATCGTCTAATATTGGTGTCATTTTTCGATAACTGTCTAATCAATATATCGACTCGAGGAGATGAAGCCGCAGAGACGACTGCGCATTGTTTTTTCGTGTAGTTTCGCTGCGACCTTATTATTATATCGCTCGCGGCATTCCACGAGAAATGTTCCTAAAGAGAAAACAAAGTTTGTAACATATCGCACACGTTACATTCATACGTGCACAAGATTAAAAAATAAACGACACACACGTACACGAATATTCACACACACACACACACACAACACCCGAAGATGCACAGAATGCGTAGGCACGTCTATGCGTACGTGCTCGCGCATCCAAATCACATACACACATGTCACGTGTTGTGTCGAAAGGAAAAAAAATTAAAAATTAAGTGGAAATGCATACCGGACGAGCGTAACATAGTTTTAAGCAAGGGTCACGTATTGTACGTATGTGTTGTACATAGCCTAAATAAAAATTACATTTAAAATTACTTTCTCTGTTGCCTCACGCGAACCGAACGCGACGAATCATTCAATCTGCGCCAAAATACGAAAAATTTAAGAGACCAGACCGAATAATTGATGCACTTTTATCAAACTGAGCATTATCTCGTCAGATGTTAAGTTTCTCACTAAAGAAGCAAATTATCTTTCTTCTCACCATTGCCTTGTTCTATTTGCGAAAACAAGTTATTGTTCAATCAATATCACCGTTATCAGTATTACATCGTTTTTACTAGCACGGCTTTCATTCTTGCAACGACTCTGATCTTTAGGCTCTAGAAGCCAATGGTCTATGGCTTGGTATCTTTTTGAAAGGATCGTATGATGGTAAAAACTTTTGCTTTTTTTAAATTTTATTAAAAAATATCAAATCATAAAATGATATCGTATAATTTTTACACGCACTAGAAGCAAGAGAAATATATCTCAGAATCAAGTAAATATAATCAATGTATTCACGAATATAATCTAGTAAGAAATAAATAAAATATCTTCTTGAAACATCTTTGTACGTCCGCAAAATGTCAGACAAAATTCACGTCCGCTAATTACAGAGTGGTGTTCCTCATCGACGCTCCAACTAAAAAGTTCCGAGTTGTGTTTTTCACGATATTAAATCGAAGCACGAGTTGCTAAATAAAGTTCAACCAACTAGTGCTGAACAAGTCTTTCAACGAGTGTACGTTCGTCGGAGTTTCAATAAGCAATAACGTTGTACAATATGTGAGCCCGAATTTTATTGACACTCTATACAATATATATAGATCAAAGAAATATCTAATTCTTGACGCTGCGAATAAAATAAAAAATAACTAATTTTTGTTAACAAAAGAATTATTGTTTTCAGTATCAACATAAATGATTCTGCGATTAGCTCAAATTTGCCAAATTCTCATGACAAATGGTTATACATATGCAACTCTCTGACATTCCAATATGATACGTTGGTACATTATTGTAATATTTTGTTCCCCCCCCCCCCTCTCCCTTTCAAGGCACTCTGCATAGACATTGCAGTCGTGACGATGCTGCAGTTAGAAAGACGTATTATTGATTCATATTATTCTTAAAGTTACTTACAATTATGGCTCCTGCACATAGGACGCGGTAATGCTTGCCGCGGAAATCCGCGCGACAGCCAATCAATATGTTGTTTTTCCGTAAGAGCTAGAAGGTTATTACAGAAAGCAGCATATTGATTGGCTGTCGCGCGGATTTCCGCGGCAAGCATTACCGCGTCCTGTGTGCAGGAGCCATTATAGGAAATTTTTATGCATATCAAGAATAATTATACATAATTTTGATTGCATTGTCCCCACCAATTTCCTGATATAGGCTTTTTAATTAGCGGCATAATTTGTAGAGCATAATTTTTAAAACAAATAATCCTCTTCTTTAATAAATTAGAAACTAATTATTAGTAACTTATATTATTAGTACTTATTAGTTTGACTAAAGTAGTTAATCTTAATTTGTAAGTAATCTTCCCTTATAAATTTGAAAAAAGATATACTCGCTCGCTCAAGAAGTCTTATTCTATCTAGTGTGGCCAGAAATCTCGCCCAGAGTAGCACCGGTGGCATTAAGGGATCACGCAAGCGTGCCTGTGTACATGTATACTTTGAACTTAGTTAGTATGCTTGTGTGCGTCATCCCTTCTCAATGTCACCGGTACTATTTGACGAGATTTCTGGTCACATTGATTCCATTTGGATCAGTATCTGTTATTAGCAATTTGTTAGTGGCAATTTGTATTTCCATGTCAATATTCCCCTCTGTCACGATTGCTATCCGTTAACAGATTCACTGGTATTCGTTCAAACACGCGACTTCGACAACTGCTATTAATGCAAGTCTTCTGATCAATATCGAAAGAATCGACAATGATACAATTCTTAAATTTAAATATTCTATTTCATTGCACTGAGTAAGTTGGATGAGAGACCGAAATCACTGTCTATGTAGTTGTCGATCAACGGTCACAACGACCACCGGTTGTACTCGTGCGTGTCTAAATGCCAATGGTGTTTCTGAATGTGCGTTCTTTGATTACACCGGAGATTACATTATCTCCGTTTTCCGACTGCTCAGACTCTTCTTTATCATCGCCCAATCCTCCAATATATCCGTGTCGTTGAGCATGTAGACAATGTAAGGACCTGCGACGGAAACGGCACGTCGTCTCTCCGTGTGATTTTTCGGTCGTTTATTGTTCGTGTTGAGCCACAAATCCGCGTGTATGTCCACGTTATTCTTGTCCTCCTCTAAACGACGGATCTTCTCCTGGAGATCATTGTGTATACAATCCCAAACTATGGACTTTTCGCTCTCGAAATTTTGCAGCGCAGCTTGCTCCTCAGCATAGAATTTATTCAGAATATTGTTTAATCTGAATTGCTTCAATATCCCGGCCACTTCTGTTTTCGTCTTCAGGTTCTCCTTTAGCCGCTCCAATGGTATCAGATACTCCTCTGATTTTCCCACTCGAACCTCTCCGAGTTTAGTGTCCACTTGTGTGATTCTTTCTCGATATAATCTAAGATAAACAGAGATATATTTCAAATATTGAGCTCCTGGGAGCTTTTTAACATAATTCTTATGTCACCAGCTTTTAGATTGTTCCAATAGACTCAATGATTCTTCTGTGGAAATTTTAACATGAAAAGTTGTTTCCACAGTTACTATAAAACTATACTAATAATACTATAAAACTATGCTAATAATATTATAAAATACTAATAATACTAATAATACTAATAATACTATAAAACTATACTAATAATACTATAAAACTATAACTATAACTATAACTATAACTATACTGTATAATAAAAAAAACCCAAAGTATATGAATATAAAGTGTATAAATATTCTTACTGTTCTTTTAGCAGAGTAAACTGTCTTTCTAAATCTACCAAATTGTCCATACATTCATTACGCCTTCGTTCGCATTCATCCTCATCCATCTCTGACGAGTCATCACTGTCAGTATGCTCTGCACTGCTGTCACACGATGCAGAGCTCTGACTGTCATTACTGTCATGCGACATTTCCTCTCCTTCACCCTCTGATTCATCTTTAACACTTGGCATTTATCCTGTGAAACAAAAACAATGTCATATATATCTTATATGTGTGTATATATATATATATATATATATATATATATATATATATTTTTTTTTTTTTATTTATTTATACAATACACAATGCACCAAAATATCATACAGGAATAAGTAATCCCGACGAAAGATAATTTAGTACACGAGGTACAGCGGTTTGAAGAATTCATAACATAACTTATACTAATATTTTCGTGATATTTCGTGATTATGTTATGCACAGTATAATCATACACATACACAGAATAAAGTCAAGACTTACCTTTTAAAAAAGAAAATGAAGTGTTTGCAGAAACCGTGGATTTCCAGGAATTTCTTTGCACGTATCGTAAAGAAGGAATAAATGGACACGTGAAACTATCGTATTACCTCCGATGTAATATATATGTAATAATATGTATGTACTTACTGTGCAAGACCTTAATGACCTCAAGTTTTTTTAAACAATTGTAGAAATATCTCTTGATTGCTGTATAGATTTACAATACAAGAAACTATCCGCTCAATTGTAAGCATAATAAAGGTTAGGTGAAAAATGGAGAACATAATGTTGGTACCGCAGACGTTTACATTGAACTAAATAATAGACCCTATAAGAAGAGATAGGACACCGTAGATTTGTTCACGTCGCATACCCCAACATGCTCCTACTCGCTTCAACGCACTCTGATTGGTCACGTAGTGACGTGAACCAATCAAAGTGCGTTGGAGCGAGTAGAAGCATGTTGGGACATGCGACGCGAACAAACCACGGGTCTTGTAGATACTAGATTCGCCATGTTTGTGTTCAAACCTGAAGTATACTTGTCTCAAGTCACAAGTCAGCAATGCAGCCAGTGTAGTCAATGCAACTGAAAAGAACAGACCACTGATTGCGTTGTCATTCAGCTGATGCTCCTAACTGGAAGCGGGGTACCCAAACATGGTGCAGCCAATCAAAACGTTGACATACGATGTCCTGTCTCTTCTTATAGGGGGGTTTTCCAATTGCAATATCCCTAGACACTTTCATGCACACGGCGACACAAGTTGAATTCCAATTGTCGTAATCGAGTGCTTTCCAATTGCTTAACACATCTTGACACATGTGTACACAGAAATGCACAAAGTGTAACGTTGTGTACGATTCAATTGGAACAAAGTGTATACGTATGTCGGGTAGGGTTAGGATTATTTTTCAACTGTGCTTATATTTTGATATTATTTAATAATAAATAATAAAATCTAAATATTAAAAAAGATATTATCTACTTCACGTCGCAAATATCAGTCTTTTTTCAAGCCGCTACGCTTATTAACTTTAATTGTCACTAGAAA